GGACAGCTCCCCAGCGAGTGGGCAGGTGGCAGCAGTGGGTCCTACCACCTTAACCCTGGGCAGCTGCCCCATATTGGAGTATGCTGATGCCAGCCCTGTCCATGGGTCCCTAGAATCACCAGGGGGGCTAGAATTTTGTCCCTCTAGCTAGCTGGAGCTTGTCAGATCTCAGAAGCTAAGAAGGTTTGGCCCTGATCAGCATTTGGAAGGGAAACCACCAAAGAACACCAGACTCCTGATGGGGATACAAGCAATGACAAACCACCTCTAACAGTCGCTTGCCTTGAAAACTTCAAGGGGTCAATATAAGTCAGCTATGACTTGACAGCAACCAAAAAAGAAGTATTTGAGAGGGAGGGAAGGCATGACATGGTACAGCCCGATATCATCTGAAACTAAGTAGGGGTGGTACTTGGGTGGGGCACCAAGTAGGACTCTGCAGAGGAAGGCAATGGCAAACCACCTCTTTTTCCCCCACCATAGAGAACAATGGAGGGGATGGGGGCAACCTGTTTGAGGGCCCGTAGAATTGGACCCCCTGGTCCAATGTTCTTGAAACTTGGTGGGTATCTTGGGGGGTGGGTCCAACAGCTACCCCAGGAGTTTGGAACCTCTCCCTCAAACCCCCTCCACTCCAGCCCCCAGAATATACCCTATGTTTTCACCATTGATTTCAATGGTTCATAGGATATAATGGGGACAAAATGGACATTCGGCTGGCCAAAAGACTCCTGAATTGGCTCCTACTGCCGAAATTGACATGCGGGGAATATTTCTGCCAGCCGAAATTGATTCTGCCCAATTTGGCCGAATCCGAATCGGGCCGAATTATTTTTTTTTGCACACCACAATTTAACAGCCGTTCCATGCGCCTCGGTGTTTAGTCATGCTGGCCACATGACCACGGAAATGTCTTTGGACAGCGCTGGATCTTCGGCTTGGAAATGGAGATGAGCACCGCATCCCTAGAGTTGGATTCGACTGGCTTTCGAGCAAGGGAAACCTTTACCTTTACCTTACTTATTCCCATGCTCCGGTGGGAGTAAAGCTTCTCTCTCATAGAGACAGGTCAGGAGGATTCTGTTTCCCACACCCACAAAGATTAAGGTTTCCCCCTGCCTGCCTATTCTTCAGGCACATCAGGAACCCAACCTATCTGGAGACGAAACATCAGGTGTTGGGGACATGAACTTTCCTTTGGGATGCCCCTCAGATGTGACTCGTTCGCACAGGGAGTCTTGTTTGCTACATTTGAGCTCAGGAAAGACTCCTCACAACCCCTCAAGGTGGGAAAAATAGCATTTCTTTGCTCATCTGGAACTCTGGGCTCATCTTACTGTAGTGCAACTGCGGTTTCTGTAGGTCTGGCATATGGAAGCTAATCTTGGGATTTAGGGGGAGAAAAGTGGCTGGTGCCAAACTCATCCTGGCTTATACAGGGAGACTGGATTTGCTGGCATTCGGGGAACTGATATGAAAGCGGTTATTGCAAAAGCACTGCACTACGTACCTCGGCTGCCCGGGGTTGCAGAGTTGGCAGGGAGACAATTTTAGCTGAATTTAAACTATATTAAATTTATGTTTAATTACCACTCAATGTCACACTATACTCCCTAAGCAGAAGTTTACTTCAGCAGAACTTCATTAGGTATATCAAATGAATTTATCCATCTGTCATTTAAGCAAGGTTTTTGGTTGCTGTTGTTTTTTTTTGAAACTGCAAAAATAATGAAGGGATTCTGTCAAAAAGGAATGCAAAACAAACAAACAAACAAACCCACAGACACAGAAGGAAAACACACTTCCAGAACTCAGCATTGAGATGGTTTTTGTCAATATAAGGCCCAGTTCATAAATTTAACTGAAGTAGTATGACTCTACACCACCTCGCCCCACATAGCTAGGGTAGACTCCATTATTATTTACTGATTGACATCATTTATACACAACCCTTTTCCACAACAGGAACCCAAAGGGGCTTATCTCATTTGCCTCTCTTCCATTTCATCCTCACGAAAACTCTGTGAAGGGGGTTAGGCTTGAGAGCACATGACTGGTCCAAGGTCACTCACTGATCTTCCACAGCAGAGTGGGGATCCGATGCTGGGCCTCCAACACTCTGAACACTACACCACGCTGGCACTAACCACTGTACAGCACTGGCAACACATTACAACATGGCAGCATTCCTAGCATAATATGTTAGTGCATGGATCTGTCCTGTGTGCATGAATTCATGTGCATTGCCAGAAATAAATATGTAACCACCACGGGATGTGCACACGCCACAGAGCTGCAGGTAGTGTGCAGGGCTGAGCCCACACGTGAAACGATGGAACCTCCTCCTTCTAAACCAGTGTTTCTCAAACTGTGGATCGGGGACCCTAAAATGGGTCATGTCTCTCACACAGGAGGGTCACAAGGAACAGGGTGAGGAGACTCTGGGAAACTCAACATCAACTTTGGGTTTGCCTCTGGCAGAATATGTAAAATATTCGTGAAATGTTAGCATTTTAAGAGACTAACAAGATTTTGGGGGTATAGGCTTACCGAGAGTCAAAGCTCCCTTTGTGAGATAACCATCTTTGTATCTGACAAATGGAGCTTTGACTCTTGAGAGCTAATACTCTAAAAATTTTGTCGGTCTCACCCTGACCTGGATAGCCCAGACAAACCTGATCTCATCAGGTCTGGGAAGCTAAGCAGGGTCGACTCTTGCAATTACTTGGATGGGAGACCTCCTTGGAATACCAGCAGCTGGGAGGCAGGGGCAGGCTTTGTTCAGCCACCTCTCTGAATATCCTCCAAGCCCCCAATAGGGGTCAGTCACCAGAGGTCGCCATGACTTCCAGGTGCACTTACAGTCAGTCACCAGAAGAAGATGATGAAGAAACTGGATTTATACCCTGCCCTTCACTACCCGAAGGAGCCTCAGAGTGGCTTACAATCCCTTTCCCTTCCCCTCCCCACAACAGACCCCCTGTGAGGTAGGTGGGGCTGAGAGAGCTCTTTCCAGAACTGCTCTTTCCAGAACAGCACTGAGAGAACTGTGACTGACCCAAGGTTACACCAGCAGCTGCATGTGGAGGAGTGGGGAATCAAACCCAGTTCTCCCAGATTACGCGCTCTTAAACACTACACCACTACAGAGGTTGCCATGACATCCAGGTGCACCACACACACACGCACACATGGAAAAAACTTTGATGGTATCTTAAGGTGCTACTGGTCCCAAATCTACTCTTCTACTGCAGATCAACATGGCTACCCTCCTGAAAGTATAGTCATGAAATTTAACCTGCTGCTCAGTGTATTTAGAAATACTGAAATGATTTCAAATGGTCACTGTACCACAAAGTTTGGAAAAGGGTGGGTAGGCACAGGATCCTTTATGAAGCAGTGAGAGGGCCAGTGTGCTGGTCAGAACAGCGAGCTAAGACTAGACAGACACCAAACTGGGAGGAGCAGCGAACACGCCAGAAGATACAGAATTCAATGGGATCTGAACACGCTGGAAAAGTGGGCGGATGTGAACAAGATACAATTTAACAAGGGTAAGTGCTGAGTTCGACACCTGGGTAACAAAAATGAGGAACATGAATACTGGATGTGGGATACACTTCTGGGTAGCAGCGTGTGTGAGACTGGGGTACAGGTGGACCACAAGTTAAATATGAGCAGTCGGTGTGATGCAGTGACAAAAAAAGGCTAATGCAACCTTGGGGTGTATCAACAGAGGCATAACATCCAAACTGCAGACATGTCACAGTCCCGCTGTATACTGCATTGGTCAGGCTGCACCTAGAGTGTCGTGTGCAATTCTGGAGGCCTCACTTCAAAAAGGACAGAATGGAGCGGGTGCAGAGGACAGCAATGAGGATGACCGAGGGCCTGGAGACCAAGCCCTATGAGGAAAGGCTGAGGGACTTGGAAATATTCAGTCTGGAGAAGAGGAAATTGAAGGGGGACAGGATTGTTCTCTTGAAGTATTGGAAGGGCTGTCACTTTGAGGAGGGCAGGGAGCTGTTCCTGTTGGCAGCAGAGGAGAGGACTCGCAATCATGGGTTTAAGTTAAGGGTGGAAAGGTACTGGCTGGATATTAGGAAAAACTTATTTACAGTAAGAGTTGTTCAACAGTGGAATCAGCTCCCTCAGGGGGTGGGACTAGATGGCCTGCATGGCCCCTTCCAACTCTGTGGTTCTGTGTTTCTATGAGACCCAAGGTTCAACTCCCCATTCAGCCAAAAAGCTCACAGGGTCACCAGGGGCCACTCTCTCTCCCTTCCTAACCTGCCTCATGGGGTTGCTGTGAAGGGCAAGCGGAGGAGGGTCATACCATGCTCACTGTCTTGAATTCCTTGGAAGAAGGGTGAAATAACAATGGGATAGATAGGCTGATATTAATTTTTGTACATATTCATCTTCAGAATTTGAGGGATACCACATCTGCCACTCAGGGGTCCCTAGAGTTTATTTATTTTTGTGTATTTATTTAAACTTTTATACCCTGCCTTCCCTCATAGTTCAAGTCGGCTTCAAAGGATAGTAGCATTTCCTTCAGATGCATCTACCACTGACTGCACTCAAACTGCACAACCCTCCCATTCTCATTTTATTAAGTTTCTAGTCCTTATGACAACTGTGGTGAGAAGACAAAAGAAGAGAAGGAGAAGAGATTGGATTTTATATCCCACCCTTCACTACCCAAAGGTGTCTCAGAGCAGCTTACAAACTCCTTTCCCTTCCCCCGCCCCCACAACAGACACCCTGTGAGGTAGGTGGGGCTGAGAGAGCTCTTGACAGAAACTGTTATCAGAACTACGGCTTGCCCAAGGTCATCCAGCCAGGTGCAAGTGGAGGAGTGGGGAATCAAACCCGGTTCTCCCAGATTAGAGTCCATATTATACAACAGCTAAAGAAAGCAGTAAGAACACAGTAATTTTCTATACAAGTTGATAGTATATTCTTAATATATTATATAGCATTCTTTGGGAAAATACCTCTTTTTTGCTCTCCTTGTTTTGTTCAACCTCAATATCTATAGGGTTAGTTCCATTTGCTTCTTCCATTTCATCCTCACTAGAAAATAAAGAGGAAGGCAATGCCATATTATTTGTTCATAATTGCATATATATCTTTTAAGCATGTACCATAAAACCCATACACAAAGAAATATTTTTAGTCACAGTTTTTTCTCATTATGATAGATGCCAGTACAAAAATAAAAGGGAAATCACAAGAACATTTAAAGGAAATAGTTTTTCTTTTTCAATTAGGAAATATTGATCTCCGAGGACACGGTTTCATAGAGGTTAAGTATAAAACAGCAAGGCTGATTCCAATATTAAGAGGATCAGATCACCTTATATTTTTAAAAAGCCTTCCTGCTATACCTATGTGGTCCTTTTCTCAATAGGTATCACAAAGGCACCAAAACTACAAAGTGGCTGCATTTGGACATGGGATGGAGAAAGTGTGGTGAGAACGTTCTCTCCCCAACACCACACTACAACTTGGGGCACCCAACAATTCTAACAGGCAAAATGGAAAAAAGAAAGTACTTCAGGCAACGTGTAACTAACCTGTGAAACCTGTCAGGAGGAGGAGGAGGAGGAGGCGGGCTTTGGCCTCTGTTCCTTAGCTTATAGGTGAGAAAGAGAGAGAGAGAGGGAGACAGACAGAGACAGTTTGGTGTAGTGGTTAGGAGTGTGGACTCTAATCTGGGAGAACCAGGTCTGATTCCCCACTCCTCCACATACAGCTGCTGGTGTGACCTTGGGTCAGTCACAAGTTCTCTCAGAACTGTTCTATCACAAGCAGTTCTCGAAAGAGCTCTCTCAGCTCCACCTACCTCACAGGGTGTCTGTTGTGGGGGGGGGGAATTGTAAGCCACTCTGAGATTCCTTTGGGTAGTGAAGGGTGGTGTATAAATCCAATCTCTTCTTCTTATTCTCAAGGGACACCTAGGCTGGCCTCGGTGGGAAACAGAATTCTGGACTAGGTTGACTAAAGGCTACATTCTCCTCCTCCTCTATCTAATGTTAGCAAGGCTGTTGTACATTAGGGTTATACAATTGTTCTTGGTGAACTCCTGCTAGTCCATTAAAACTTGGAGGAGGATCCCTCACAAGAAGCTATTTTGCTTTAAAGCTTTGGTACAAGCTACAGCACAGGCTTGTGCTTCAGATGAGTCAACCAGCCAATTGGTTTTTAAATCTGCATGGCAAACAAATCAGATTTTTCTATTAAATTCCAATGCTTTCTTCCCACCACCTTTTTTCCCATCTAAAGGAAGGAACCACCTATTTTCCCTATAAAGGAAGGAACCACAGGTGACTGATTATATCAGCCAGGCACATCCAAGCATATGTTCAACAACCTGTTGTTTGGTTGTTCATTTTATTTTTTCGTTTCAATTCCTGGCAGGGCAAAATACAGTCCACTAATAATAATAATGGGTTATCAAATTTAAATCAAGTCCAATTGTGATCAAACCATTAAGGATGCTGAGACTTCTAAAAAAAATCCAACATACTGAAATATGTATCTCATAACATTAAAATAATCCTGACTACAAAATACATTGGCATTTTATATATTTTAGATTAACCCACTGCTGCCATTTGCAATACCAGCCATACAGGGCAAAGTTGCTCACCGAGCTGAAAACTGCTGGGATGAAGCTATTTCCATCCTGGGTTCACAATATGAATGTAAATCACTCTGAGCCACAACAGCCAATATTGGAGCCTCCAGTCAGAAGCAATATACATTATTACTCAACGTGAGGAATTAAAACAACAGTATATAGCCGATCTCCATCATGAGAGCTTCCTAGCAGCATCTGGCCGGTTGGAGGTGCCCCTTACTAAGAGAACTACAAAACGAGCCATCTTCACAATCGCCAACTTTTTCTTTAATAAGAGCTACTTCTGAATAATGAAAAACATTGCAAGCTAGTCCCCCCCAACATATTACCTAATTCTGAGAAACAGAACACAGATTAGGAAAAGCACAAGAAATGAAGCCACCAGTGAAGCAGCACAGAGCAAAGTCCTATGAAATAAAAGCTTTGTCTTTTTAACAAAAAAGAATTTAGAGTGGCTCTTTATTGGATCTTTTACTGCATCTCCTAGAGGATGTGGAAGCTACTCCGCAGAGGGCTAATGCAACAGGTTGGACCCAAAGGTGGACCCAATCCCCCCCCCGAAAGTGGACCCCAAGAGCCCCCCCCCCAATTTTCCTGAGGATTTCCCCATGAAGCAGAATTTCAGGGGATCCATGTGCATCACCACAAGGAGGAGGTAGGGATATCATACACCACAGGCTTCTCAGTATCCCATCCAGAGTTTTTAAATTTAACTTTGGGAGAGGACAGCCTAATTATCCTGTGTGCGTCTCCAGTGGATGGCCTCTTCTGCAGTATCAAAGGTATGTAGCAAGGACAGCCAGTAACCAGTACAAGTCGTGATGAGAACAATGCAGGAGCAAAAGGAACTGGAATGGGGGGGGGGAATGGGAGAGGAAGGGGCAGCAGTCCAGAGGACTAGCTGGGGCAATAGCAGTGCGCTTGATTCCGTGGGCTCCCTACTCATTTCATTCACGTTGGCAGTTAGTAACCTAACTTTTCTCCCTGACAGGGAGCCCAAGTGACTTATAAAAAGGTAAAGGTTTCCCTTGCTCGGAAGCCAGTCAAATCTGATTCTAGGGGGCAGTGCTCATCTCCGTTTCCAAGCCAAAGAGCCAGCGCTGCCTGAAGACGTTTCCGTGGTCATGTGGCCGGCATGACTAAACACTGAGACTCACGGAACGCTGTTACCTCCCACCGAAGCGGTACCTATTTATTTACTTGCAATTTTTTTGTTTTTGAACTGCTAGGTTGGCAGGAGCTGGGACCAGAGACGGGAGCTCACTCAGTCACGTGGCACTAACTGCCGAACTACAGACCTTCCGGTCTGTAGCTCAGCATCTTAACCTCTAAGCCGCCATGGCCCTTCAAGTGACTTATAGAAACGGCCAAATTTAAATTTAAATATACAGTTGCATCAAACAAAATTCAATTTAACCACGAAGGGGAGGGGGACACAAGGCCACATCTTGAATAGACTCTGAACCTTGTAGGGCAGCTCACAAAATGGCTGTCATTCAGAAACTACGAGCCCTTGGGCTCATGCCTCTGGCTATCCTCAGGGTTTTTAAGCATTAGTACAACTTCCATTTTCTGTGACCTGCTAAGTTTTCTGGGCAAATTCTGATCGCCGCTGAGCTGCCCTCCCTTCCCTATTGAGGAATAAACTACCCTAAGTACCATATATAAACCAAAGGAAGCACTTCAACCAACCAAGATAGCTAATCTAATCTCTGGAAGTCACCGCTGCTAATAATATTTAACTTTGAAAAATTGCATACCATTTTGTGTCATTCTGTGGCTAGACCTAACAAAAAATGGTACTCCAGGGCTTGTATTTCTGGATCCTCCGGACCTATTGCAGCCTGTCTGGCTATCAGGCTCTTATAGGTACGGAGGATCCAGAAACAAAAGCCACAGAATACCATTTTTTGTTAGGTCCAACCAAATCAGTAAGAAGGCCTCGCAACTGCTGATCTGCGGGTCTGCATAGAGCTCTTTGTAGGATGCCAGCAGGTGGACTAAATTCTGACCAGAGGGACCAAGGCTACAATCCAGCAAGCTAATTCGAGTTCTTAGGCTTTGCTCATTCCAATGGAATATTAGAACAGAGTTCAAATTAATGTTCCAATCCCATCTACAATTCAGAACTACTGTACCGGGTACAGCTGAAATGCGATGTGCCACGTAAGAAGCATTACAAGAGTACAGAAATGTATTGGATCAGCTTTTAATATATGCACAGGCTTCAGATCCAATGGAAAAGAACAGTACACCTTTCCCAACAATCCATGAAATTAAAAACATACTGTAGAAGCCTGGGTGACAGAAACCAATGTTATTTTCTCCTAATCTTGTTTAGAATTCCTTCCAGCGACAGTGGAGTCTTCATCTATATAGTGTAGAATATTATTTACTTTCCAACTCCAGTTTACACAAATTAGGTGAAAAGAACTTAATAACCTGTGCAGCTATTTTGCAGGGGGCACTGGTTCCAAGGCAAGCTGAACTAATGTGTTACTATACAAATGAACAGCCAGGGTATGCAATTGCTTTTTAAAAAACAGATACTGTTTTTGCATCTAGCGTTAGCGTTTGCATATCGTGTCTATTACAAAAAGCCATGCTTCATAGAGTCCTCCTTTTTTTCTTTTTCTTTTTTGTCCTGCAAGGAAAATTCATTCAGGTGTGAGATTGCAAGCAACCCACATGCAGATCACCATGTTTGAGGATGGTCTACGTACAATCGGTATAGACACACCTGTGAGATTATCATAAAGTGAACTGCAGCCAGAGATCTTATCATTGGGGAGCCCATAGGAAACTGCAGAACAGAATGCACCCTAGGCTGAGGTCCAAGTAGACACGATAACACACAATGGATTTCTACCAGTCTACAGAAGAAGAATAGGTTTTTATTCCCCACTTTTATCTAAGAAGTCTCAAAGTGGCGTACAATTGCATTCCATTCCTCTGCCCAGAACAGATACCTTGTGAGGGAGAATCAAAGAATCGCTTGTGGGACTGAGAGAGTCCTGAGAGAAGCCGGCTTGGCCCAAGGTCACCCAAGCAGGCTTCATGTGGAGGAGGAGTAGGGAATCAACGCCAATACTCCAGATTAGAGACTGCCATTCTTAACTACTACGCCATGTTGGCTCTCCATAGAGGGCAAATTGAACGTTCCGCCACAATTGAAAGCAGGGCCACACAGAAAGAGAAGAGAGAGAAACCCTTCCATTTCCCCTCCACAGTTTTGCTAATCAAAACTGGGCTCCCCATGCTTTCATTAGCATTTTATAGGAAGATGGATTTCGAACGACACCATCTTTTTCACTTCAAAATGGTAACTCAAAACGGAATGGGGGGGGTACATCTTCTCTCTCCTCCACCCAGACTGGTTTCAGAAAAGGGGGCTGGCAGTTTGTGCTGGGAGGGGAGGGGAGGGGAGAGGAAGTGCCTAGTTCCCTGCTATAAATCTTTACTTGGATTTGGTTTGGGCCATACCCTCTCCCATCTGAAGATCTGGTAACCTTTGCTACTTAAAACTTCAACACTTAGAAGTACAGATATCTGAACGAGATTTGGGGGGGGGGAGAACACACAATATGTAAGATGCCAGCTTTCAAGGCTCAAAGCTTCCTTTGTCAAGTATGGGAGCTCTGACTCTCAAAAGTTCACCCCCCCCCAATCCCACTCTTTGATTGCAGGTCAACATGGCTACCCTCTGAAATTATCCTCATAATCTGCAGCCCGTAATCGGCAGTTCCCCGGCAAGGCGGGATATAAATTGAAAATAATAAATAAATAACAAACGGTCATTTACTTAAGTTTGTGCATAAATTCTGCTCTAGTCCTGCTTGAGTAAAGCAGAAGACCCACAAACAACATAAAGATGAGCCATAAAAATGAGGCACGAAATAGACTTTGCTCCCCCCCTCCACCTTTTTCTAACACTAACAGCAAAGCAGGTGGAAGTGCTCTTGGGGAAAAAGAAAAGAAAAGAGAGACCTAACAAAACCTGCTCAGGTTTGACTGTGACAGTTTTGAGACAACCGTGTTGAAGCTAGAAAAGTGTCAATCTGACGCCCTGCAGAAGTCGCTTATGAGACAAGGATCTGCAGCTTCCTGAGCTGTACAGATCTCTGCTCCGATTACCATAAGCAGCCGCTGCAGACTGCAACCCTTAAGGGCAACAGGGTTGCTTTAATCATATCTGTACATTCAGACATTGCTTGTCTGCAGAAACAATTTTTTTAAAAAAGAAGCACTGGCTGTAATGGCTCTTGCCGTCCAGAGATCATAGCTCATTTCAATGATATATTTAATACGAACAGCCCACCACCACCACCACAGCTTTCCAAATTTGCACACACGTCTCAGGCAGCTCACAATCATTAAAGCCAGCATGACCTAGACCCACAGTTTTGGTGTTACTGCTGAAACCACTGCAAAGCTGGCAAAAAATTAACAAAAAAAAACTAACATGTGCCAGCCGGGCCCCTTCCTGAATTATAGCAGTGGAATCACCATCTCCATAGCAACAGGCTCTCAGACTATTTCAAATCAATATTCCTGCATTGCAAGAACACTGAATTAATGCAAAAAATCTAGACTCGGGTGTATCTTCAAAGAACATTTCCGGGGACCAAACCTACAGAAACAAACCTCCAGCCCTACAGAATAAGGAAAGGACAGATGGACTGCAGAACCAATGGCTGCTACCCACTCCTGAGCCTGCTTCTCATTGGGAACTCTTTTACGTCTTCTGGTTGCCTGCCCATGGAATAAGCAATACAGAACTGGTTGGATGACCCCTACCAAAAGGGCCAAAAAATATCTAAATCACTGTATGTGGTAGGCCTTTCAACTGCAAAATTTTTGCCTGATGACTGTAATGCGATACTTAATCACAAGCATGGTCTTTTATAGAGCCTAAATTTTATAAGCAATAGTACAGAATTACTCATGCATTGCAAAAAAAATAAGAAAAAGATCATATTCCTTCCAGTTTAGGAATAAAGCACAATTGAGAAAGTAGCACAGTGCTACGAGAAGGGAAAGAAAACCCTGAGCAAGGATCACACTTTCCAGAGAATCCAATCTCACAAACAAGGAATTTACACGTTGGCTGCAGTTTCCTACAAACACGCCTGCAGAAACATAACAGATCCCGCAGGGTCCGGATGTCACCTGGAAGAGTGTTCCACCATGCCAGGGACAGGGTCGAAAAGGCCCTGGCCAAGGCTAAACGAATGCCTCCAGGGACCACCATAAGATGCTGTTGAGAGGTGCACAGGGTTCTCTGGGGACCATATGGGGAGAGTCGCTCCTGTAGCACTAAGACCTTGAATCTGATTCCGTATACAACTGGTAGCCAATGCAGGTGGCGCACTACTGGCTGTATGTGCACCTGCACAGGTGCTCCAGACAGGAGGCACACCGCTGCATTTTGCACCAGCTGAAGCTTCTGGATCAGGGACAAGGGCAGCCCTGTGTAGAGTGAGTTGCAGTAGTCTAGTCCAGAGGCGACCATTGCATGGACCACTGTGGCTAGATCGCAGGGGGAGAGGTAAGGGACCAGTTGCCTGACCAGATGAAGATGGTAGAAGGCTGACTGGGCAACTGATATGACTTGGGCCTCCATAGAAAGTGAGGCATCCAACGTCATACCTAAACTCCTCACCACTGGCATTAGTGTCTGAGGTGCCCCATCAACGGGTGGCAAGTGAATTTCCAAGGCGCCCCCCCCCCCCCGCCCCCGGAGGCACAGGACCTTCATCTTCACTGGATTTCGTTTCAGTTCAGTTCATTTACTCAGCAGCTGTGTTTGTGATGGGGTACATCCACAATGAGCACATCTGTACATTTGAACAACAGAAGTCCTTCAATGCCCAAGAGCCCTGGCCATGCTTTCAACGGAGGATGAGCACTTGAGAGGTGAAACAATGGTACACCCACAGCAAACACAACTAGCTGTGTGAAGATTTGTTTGGACAGACACTGTGGCTGCACAGTGACCCTGTACCAAGGGTCCCCAACCTTTTTGAGCCTGTGGGTACCTTTGGAATTCAGACACAGGGTGGGGGGCCCAAACCACAAAATGGCTGCAACAAGAGGTGGAGTCAACCTTAAATGGCCACTGCAGGAAGTAGAGCCACACATAGAGGAAGCTCAAGTGCAGGGGGTAAGAGTGGTAATTTTTTAAAAAAACACACACAAGAGGAGTGTGAGAAAGAATAAAACCAACACTGTTTTGGCTGTTACCACCAAATAATCTAGATACACTATGTCTACAGCATTGCCAGAATCAACTATTTTAGTAACTCTGTCAAAAAAGGAGATAAGGTTGGTCTGTCATGACTTGTTATTTTAATCTGTGTGGCTGATCCAATCACCAGTAGCCAATCAGAAGCCCTGCTGGGCAAGCGTCCCACTTGGTCCTATCCACTTTCTAAAAACACTTGGTGGACGCCAGTAAAGGTAGCAGTGGGCACCGTGTTGGGGACCAATGCCCTATGCAATAGGACTCTAAAAAGAAGGGGGACTATAAAAATAGGACTCTAAAAAGAAGAGGGCCATAAAACACAAGAGATGCTTACATTATCAGCTCAAGAGAAGAGGAAGCGTTCCCAGCAACATGGCAACCATTTGCATAGCGGCAGAAAGTTGACAAGCTTTGTTCTTCAAGTGCTTTGAAAAAGTACAACCCCCTAGTTTGCATAATATTACCCATCGAATATCCACCTTTTCCACCTTGCACCCATCTTGAGTAGCACTGCTATTTAAAATGACTGAAACAAATTTGTGCCAGTATCTCAAATCGGCTATATTTCTGTATGCAACTCCCCTCCCCCCCAAAAAAAAAATATAAGGGGGCTATTAGGAAGGTCCCCAAAAGTCTATTGTTCTGTAAAATGTGCAAACAGAACTATTTTGGAGAGAATTCTTTTAGAGGGAGTAAAGCTGTGGTTGTGATGGATCAGCTCAGGAGCTGACCTTTGCCAGAGATAATGTGTCCTTTTCCTTCCAGATCTTCAGTCCCAGCCTCACTGCATTATGTTGTTTTCCTAAGGATCTTTGGTGTTAAGACTCAAATGTTATCACGTTTTGTAATCTGCTTGCTGATTGACTAAATAGCTTTGTTTCACCAGGAATCTCTGCAGTCAGATACAAACACTATCATTCAAATGTCACCAAGTTTTGTACTGGGCTTTGATTGACCAAATAATTTTAGCACATTTGGGAGTCTGGCCCTGAGTCACAGTGAGAAAGGGGGACTAAAAAAAGCAAATAAATATTTATCTGCACAGTAGACGAATTAAGCGGGCAAAATATCTAGATCCTCATCTCCAGATCCTTAACCTTGCAATATCTAGATCCTCATCTCCAGATCCTTAACCTTGCAAGTCCATTTACACACTTACCTTTCCTCCCGCTCTCTTTTCTGTTTTCTTGCATGACGGTCCATAACACTCGTTTTAGTTCTCGTTTTTTTCCATGAGTAGTAGAACTTCACCAGGCTCGCTATCGACTTGTCTGGAAGCTGAGAAACACAGAAGATGGGTGTCACCAGGACTCTTGCCGTGTTCCAGTTCTGGACTAGAGTGCCTGGGAAAGTTCCACAATCCCACTCTGAGCAGAAGCCACCCACCATCATGTTGTGGTGCCGGCAGAGCAGGGTTGCCAACCTCCAGGTGGGGCCCAGAGATCTCCTGGAATTCCAAGTGATCTCCAGATGATAGGGAACAGTTCCCCTGGAGAAAACGGCCACTTTGGAGGGTGGATTCTATGACACCATAGCCCGCTGAGGTCCTTTCCCTCCCCAAACCCCTCCCCCTCTGAAGGCTCCATCTCCTAATCTCCAGGAATTTGCCAAGTCAGAGCTGGGAATCTTATATTATCCTCAGAAGTGCAAACCAATTCTGTTTATGCCTGACCTCAGAATGTAAAGTGCCAAGAGCACAATTGCCCAGCGGTGCCACATCTTGGTGCTGCTCCAGAAACCGAGTGCAAATTAATTGGCATCTTGGATACTTTTCCAGAAATGGTCCAGCTTTTTTTTTGGGGGGGGGGTATTTTTTTGTACTTTTTTCCTTTGGGGGAGGGAATCCAATATTTTTGGCTTCATTATTACCTATGGGGAACCTTTCTGGGAGACTGGGATGGTGTTTTTAAAAAGGTAATGGCGCCAAAATTGCAGGGGAGCTCCTGGTGCCTCTCCTTTAAATAATCCCCAAATTTCAAGTCAATTGGACCAAGGGGTCTAATTCTGTGGGCCCCTCAACAAGGTGCCCCCGTTTGTCCTCCATTGTTTCCTATGGAGGAAACCCACAAAAATGTAAAACCAAGAATTCCGTGTGGGCCCCCCCATAGAAACACTATTGGAGAAGCCAGAGCTATTACAATGTAAAATGTAAGAATCTGAATGTACATAAAATGTGAGATTCTCGATATAAAAACACAAGAACCCCCCCCAAAGTGAATCTAACACAAAGCAACTTCACCAAAGAACAAACTTTTTTCATATGTGTTTGTGTATGTCTGTGTGCGCGCACATGTGAGTGTGTGTGTGTGTGTGCGCACGCACCCGGAAGTCACGGTGACCACTGGTGACTGACCCCTACTGGGGGCCTGGAGGATATTCAGAGAGCTGGCTGAATAAAGCCTGCCCCTGCCTCCCGACTGCTGGTATTCCAAGGAAGTCTCCCATCCAAGTACTTGCCAGAGTCGACCCTGCTTAGCTCCCAAGATCTGACAAAATCGGGCTTGCCTGTATTAATGGTGCAGCTTTTGTGGCAACAGCCAGTGCCTTAAGTCACAGAACAGGAGGTACACTTCAAAAGAAAATGCTTCTGAAGTGCTGGCTGAAGCTTCCAGCTCTTGTATTTGTTTCCGTTCACTTGGCCTTTCAGTGGCCAACCTTCCATTTCACAGTGTGACACCTTCTTTTTCCAGCTCTCACCGTTTCCTTTGCCCTCAACACTACACTGCTTTAGTCAGGCTGCATTCTCACTTACTTAACGACTAATTACGTTATCAATTGTTCTGCTTTCGCTTCTAGTCAAGCCTGCTTCAGAAGGCGCAATTTGCAATTAAGGAGCCGCCTCTCAATTTTTTGCTTTTCTGTTGTTGCTTCAAAAATGAAAAGGCGTGCTTACGGCCCACATCGTATTTGAATTTTGCAAACTCCAGTCTTCTGCCCAAATGCCTTCTCCTGCTTATGAGTGCAGACTCAAATTAGTGCACTTGCAAAAATGGACATAAGGTGAGGCGGCTAACCCTGGCCTCTCTAGCCCTGTCTCAGCATTTCTTAACTATTGATTGTTGCATTCCCAGTGGGATGGCTTCTATTTCTTCTTCCAGCAGGCCAGTGGTATGTCTGACACCAGCTATTCCTATCCTGGTCCTACAAAAGTGAGCAAACCATCTTAAACTGGATGCAGACTAGGGCTGCCAGCTCTGAGCTGGGAAATATCTGGAGAGTTTAGAGGTGGAGCCTGCAGAGAGCAAGGTTTGCAGACAGGAGGGACCTCGGTGTGGTCCAGTGCCATAGAGTCCACCCTCCAAAGCAGCCATTTTCTCCAGGGGGAGCTGATCTCTGTAATCTGGAGATCAGTTGTAAAAGCAGGAGATCTCCAGGTTCCACCTGGAGGTTGGCAGCTCTAATGCAGACAGTGAGGTCTTAAGATCATGGCCTAGAAGATCTGTTCCCAGCTCCTAATGCCCAGGCACACTTTTTGGGGGGTTAAACATCCAGTCTGATAAAGCGTTTTGAAGAAGCTCGTTCTATGTGCCATGTTACTTTGGCATTTCACTTCTTCGGTAACTACTAAGAATGTGTGATTGTTATCCTCTTCCCCCTCCCCATCCGCACACATAAACACATCCTTAATTTTGAAGGATAAGGGCTGCTCTAATTATCAGGTTTTATGGTTACATTTCAGCTGGCTATGCAGAGCAGTTGATTCTTTGTTGCTCAGGGATCCCACGCTGGATTGATTTTTTTTGCAAGGCGCGGATGTAAATCAAGCAGGCACAGGCATCGGACTATATGCGCCTCTTTAAATCGTTAAGATTAATTATATTTGTGCAACACTTTCCTCCAAGGAAGCCAGGGCACATCCTCCCTTCTCCAGTTTAGCCTCACAACCACACTGTGAGGCCATTTAAGCTAGCCAAGGTTACCCGTGGAGCTTGGTAACAGAACGGGGATTTGAACTCGAGCCTCCCTGATTCTAGCTCGATCATCTGCTCACTGTGCCACACTAGCACAAATGGGTACAAGGAGCAAGGCCACTCTCACAGGCCCCGGACACTGAGTTTACACTGATGTGCAGCTGTACCTCCAGATCAGGGGTGGCTAAACTATGGCTCGGGAGCCACATGTGGCTCTTTTATACATATCGCAGGGCTCTTTTTGTAGCAGGAACTCCTTTGCATATTAGGCCACACACCCCTAATGTAGCCAATTCTCTAAGAGCTTACAGAGCTCTTCTTACAGGATTGGCTACATTAGGGGTGTGTCACTTAATATGCAAATGAGTACCTGCTACAAAAAGAGCCCTAATTGTGCGACTCCTGGCAGGGCAGCTGGGGAAGCAAACAAATATCACTGGACAAATAAATATCATTATCAATATCTGCTTTTACCGCTTTTGTTATCATTTTTGCAGTCTCATTTAATGTTAATAAAAAGCAAATTTGCATATTTCCCAGCAAAAACATGTAATATTTGTTCACGTCTTGTGGCTCTCAAACATCTGACGTTTAGTCTGTGTGGCTCTTACGTTAAGCAAGTTTGGCCACCCCTGCTCTAGATGGTCAAGCAGCTGTGGCGAAAGCAGGTTGGTATGCCTCGTACTAAGAGCAGCGAGAGAAATCCAGCTAACCAGAGGAAGGCAACCACCGACGTGCATATCAGACAGTGGCACCCCACTTTATTTTAGTCAGCCTGGCAGTGCCCTCCTCCACCTCCAAAGGAGGGGTGTGGAGTTGGAATAGACTCAAGTCAAAGCTGGGATTCAGAAGGAAAGTCTGGAAGCCAGTAGGACGGGGGGGATCCCCTCCTGTAAAGCAGCAATTGCTTAAAATTAGAACTAGGAGTGTGGACCATCCGTGAAAATGTGTGTGTGTAAACCCTTGCACTGGTGCCTCCATGCTCCCCTAGAATTCTGCTCACAAAGTGTTTTCCCCCCATCCATAATCGCATGACTAAGCGCATGCATCAAGCAAAACCATTGACTTGCACAACCACACAATCCTCATCTTCCTCCTCCCACACCCCCCCCCCCTTTGGAAGGACACAGATAAATGTTGAGGGGAGCGGCACTCAGGCCAAAGGAAAGACTGCCTTTCCCGGTTTTGAAGTCCTCATCCCCAAGTGAAATGAAACGTAAGCGCGTTCGCTCCATTTATCTTTTGTTAACCCCACCCCTGCCATATCTTCCTCAATATCTAGACTGTAAACTCCTTAATGCAGGGAGCTGACTCTTCTTTTGCTTTTATTCAGCATCGACGGGGTGCCACGGGGATGATCTGAAGTGACAGGAAGACCCCACAGATGTCCTCGCGGTAGGCTTCTAAATGTCAGAAGAATGAATTTCTGAGGAGGATTAGGAAAGCCCTTTCCTCCGACAAACTTTACGAGAAACCCCAACCACTCTGACATCTTTGGAACCATCTGCTCAATTTCCCCCCACTACTGGCTGCAGAGCAACGGACCGCACACAGAGACGTCAGCTTCGCTTTTTGTTCCAATTTCTTAAATATGCCAATAAGGGATCATTTTTATCTGGCCGAGAAGCATGCAAATGTAAAAGTCAAAGGTCTGCACATGCAAAAGAAGGGCACCTTTAAGTCTCACACGTAGGCACAAAGCTGTCTTCTACGGAGTCAGCTCCTCGGCCCACCAACAACACTCTTTGTCTGCTTTGCCTACATTTGGCTCTGAGGTCTTTCGCATCACCTACTGTCTGATCCTTTGAACTGGAGATGCCGGGGAGTGAACCTGGGACCTTGCGGTCACAAAGCAGACGCTCTGCCACTAAGCCACCCCCAAACCTCAACCCACCCAAAATCTAGACTTCTCTGCAAATTTCTGCCTGCCAAACTGTTCCACTTGATGAGTACTTGAAGGCATAGTAAGGAGATTCCAGCAAGGTACACTTCGGTTCTTAAAATTCCCTCCTTTCGTTAAACATAAAAGTCAACATTTGCTTGTCGCAAAAAGGCAGAAGTTGGATAGGATGAAGACACAACTCAGCACTGGCTTATCGGAGAGAGAAAGTGCTTAAGCAGATCTACCCGCATGCTGCAACAATAGTTTTTTCCACCCAACTCCGCTCTATATCATTGGCTACCGCCAGGGGCAGCTAATCGATAAAGATAAGTCAGCCAAACATTGGGGGGTGGGAGAGAAGGAAGAATTCAACATGGGGCAGGCATTTTTTTACTTTAATTCTGGCAACAGACCCACGTCAAGCAGCACATCTAGTTCTGCCCTTAAAAAAAAAAGTTAGGTACACAGAGCTGAGAATGCCTCGGAAGAAGGGAGAGGGAGCGCGTTAAGACAGCCGATTAAGCCAGCAGCTTTGGCAAACCCAAATTAGTTACAGCTGTTGCTCCCACTAATTAACAGCACACAGCTTTTAGTGTGACCCTCAGTCTCCGGTGGATATAAATATTAAGAAAGCTTCTGCTCTTATAAAAAGCAAGTGGGCGGAGATCTTGGGCAACGACAGCGGCTTGCAGTGGAGCGCTCTCTCACAGCCGATACCGAATTACATTACGGCTTGGACCCTGAGCAGTATGAAGAATCACGCCACAGGAAGGCAACTTCTCCCCCTCCCCCCCTCACTGCACCTTTCTGTGTCCCCCCCAGAGTGGTGTCCCTGCAGGTCAGTGGCCTGAATAACCCTTAGCCTTCTCTCGTCAGAACTTGGAAGCTAACCAGGCTCGTACACAGTTAGTATTTGGATGGGAGACCACCAAGGAAAACTGGGGTTGCTATGCAGAGGAAGACAAAGGCAAACCACTTCTGATTGTCTCTTGCCTTTAGAACCTGCCGGGTCCCTGAAAAAGCAAAACAGTTTTGGGTTGAGATTCATGCTGAAATGGAAAAAATTGTGAAATGTAAATTTAAGAAAGAACCAAAAAGGACATTGATGTGGTATATGATTACAGCTGCCAGAATGATTTATGCACAATATTGGAAACAAGATAAGGTTCCTGAAGTTGGGGACTGGATCAAGAAACTACTTTTCATGGTTGAAATGGACAAAACGACAAGGAAACTTAACAATCTGGAAGCAGAAGATTTTTTTGCAGACTGGAAAGATTTTAAAGACTATTTGGAAAAGTATTGGGATGTAAGGGACAATTTATTTTGCTTTGATAACTATTGAAGGTTAAAGAATATTAAAAAATAGATAAAGATATAAGAATAAAAAATGGAGTGATAAGTTACCTATAGATAGGAGTAAAAGAAGGGAGGGACGAAGAACATCTAAGAAACGTACAGGAGGTTGGAGCACTGTGGGAAGCCGAGTGGGGGGGGGGGAGGAAGGGAAGAGGGTAGGATGTATAACTATATAAGGCTTGATTTATGTTTGACTTTATTATATCCTAATAAAATGTTTTCAAAAAAAAAAAAAAAGAACCTGCCAGGTCCCGGACTCACCGTGAGTCAGTTGCAGCGTGATGGCACGTAGCTATAACAGGCCAGCAGAACTGAGAGAACGGTGCAGGGAGGGGCCATGGCTCAGTGGTAGAGCATCTGCCTGGCATGCAGAAGTTCCCAAGTCCCATCCCCGGCATCTCCAACTAAGAGAAGCAGGTTAGTAGGCAACCTGAAAGACCTCTGCCTGAGACCCCACAGAGCTGCTGCCAGTTTGAGTAGACAAGGCTGACCTTGATGAACCTTGACTCAGTAAAGCAACTTCATGTGTTCAAACTGGGAATCTGCAACAGGATGGGGGGAACTGGCAAAATCTCCCTGCTCCTCTTCCACAAGGCAGAAAAGCCATTCCTCTGGAGCATCACTTAGGGATGAAGCCTGAATGTCAGCCCACAGAAGGCCAACTGAGATAGGTTTAACTTCTGATTGAAATAGATACCGAGAAATCCTGTCTTTCTATCACCTTAACTCTGCCCCAGACCCAGCGTACGTCATGTTTTTGCTATTCAGACTTTCACATGTCACCAGTCCCTTTCTTCTACGGGATTCCCGTACCTTTCTAGACAAAATGAGCAACCCAAGAAAGACTGGTATTTTTCAAAGAATCCAGACCCGCATGGGCCTCCCTTGCTCTTACGCCAGGGCCATCACACACATCTTCTTCGCCTGTGGCCTCCGGGATTCCTTACCATCTGTTGAATTCGGTGGAATGTTTTCCCATGGAAACTGAAAGCCTGTTCAAACAAGACCTTGTCTTCAACCGTCCATTCATCCGGGAAAGGGGTAAAGTTAGGCAGGTCCGCCAGAGATTTCTCGATGTTATGCTTATGCCAGAAGAGCATCCCCAGAGCCTGCAAGAAGGAAGGGGTGAAATGAGATAGCAATCCATGTAAATAAAAACTGGATGTGCAATGAAAGGAAGATAACAATGCAGATAGTTTTCATGTGTAAAGAGCGCATCCTCCTGCTCTCAAGTCTTAAGCTACGACTGCCACAAGAAGGTCTTAGTGGAGCCCTGACCCGGATACCCCAGGCAAGCCCGATCTCGTCAGATCTCAGAAGCTAAGCAGGGCCGACCCTGGCAAGTACTTGGAAGGGCGACCTCCAAGTAATACCAGAGGCAGACTAATCAAGCCCCTCTCTGAAAAATATGTTTCCAATATGTTTCCAAGGACTGTCCCACATAGAACTACATTGCAGTAGTCAAGTCTGAAAGCTACAGAAGACTAGATCAGTACAGCAAAGTTAAAGAAGTCAAGAAGGGATCAAGAAGAGAGCCTACAGACATTTCTCCATGCCTATTACCCCTCGGCATATCGAACCTAAATCCAATCACGCCTGCTATTGTCATTCACCTGCCATTGTTATCTGCCTGCTAATGTTGTTCGGTATCTGAAATCATTCCACTTTCTATTAAATAGGGCAGATGGACTCCCATTCTAGCTGTATCTGCAGAAGCGAGCAGTGATTCATGAAAGCTCATACCATGCCACATATTTTGTTATGTCTTTAAGGGGCTACTGAACTCTTGCTCTTTTCTGCTGCTACAGACAGACTTACGTGGTTACCCATCTCGATCTACATACTAGATGTAAATGGAAAGACACTCCCAGCCATGGCTTTCAAAATGTAAGGCTAGGTTCAGGAACATCCCCCACCTGACCTATCATTGGTAAGTCACTACCCTCTAGAACATGAGTATTCTCCACTAGCATCCATTGTTCACTCAGTATGCATTCAGGACCACAGCCAGCCATTCTTGGATGCTTGCTTAAACACAGAAGTGGGTGTCCTCAGTGTATGGAGGATACCCAATCCCAATGCTGTGGATAAGCACACTCAGCAACTTCATGTAGGTATTATGGTGACGGAACTGGCCTCTGGGGTACTCCGTGTAAGAGATCCTGAATGGGTGACTCAGCAACTCCAACTACATCCCACAGACCACAGGCCATAAGCCAAAAACAAACCATTAGAGGACCACCCCTTAAGATTCCAGCTTGGTATTGTAAACAATCCAGAAGAACAGAATCATTGACTGCATGGCATCAGAAACCGATAAACGATTCAACAAAATCAGTAGAAAAGAATTCCCTTTACTGATCTGTAGACTGCAGGTCATTCACTGGCAGGACCAGAACTGGCCACTGTCCTGTCTTAGGGTCTGAAGACAGACTGGAAAGGGTCAAAGAATGATGTGTCATTCAAAACTGCCCGAAGCTGCTCTGCCTCCACACACTCAAGGTTATAGACAGGATAAAAGTTGGCCAGATTATATTTTTCTAAGGAAGTTTAAAAAATGGTACATCATTCCATCTCTTAACACCAATGACCTTCTAAGTTCTTGTTCCAACTGTCCACCAAGACAGTCAAGGAAGTGGTGATGCTTATGATTTCAAGAAACATCAGCTGCAGTTAGCAAGCTGAAATGATCCAAGCAGTTGTGAAAATCGTTCCCTCTAAACTCCCTCTAACTCGTGAGTGAAAAAAGCTAGTAGCATTAAAGTTGTGAGTGAGTCCACATTCAACTATCATGTAAATTAGTTTTTTTTTAAGATTACTTCCATAACCTTGTAAAGTTCTCAGAATAAATTCTTTTAAATTATATTTAAACCCTGGGGAACAGGTCTACCCATACCTTTCCACTATAATGGTAGACCTGGCCTTGAACTGTTGCCTTGTGCTGAGCCTTAGAAAACATACCAGCCCATTTGGGGGGGGGGGGGAAGAAACTCTTGCAGTCTACTTTTTAAAAAAGTGAAATATGACAACCAGCATTACAGGTCAAGTGTAACAGAGGAGGAACAATCGCGGTCAGAACCCTGCCTAACCTAACAAACAGGAAGTTGCTTAAATGTTACCTGCCCAAACTACTTATTTATTCAAATATTTATATTCCACTTTTCCCTGTGACCCAAGGCAGCTTACAAATCATACTGAAAAGGACAATAGGGTTGTGCCCCCCCCAAAAAATTCATTTTTCCCCATCTCCATTGTAGCCTATGGGGACCATTATAGTCAATAGGCCCCATGGGCTATAATGGAGAATCGATCTGGGGGTATCTGGGGCTCTAGGGGGACTGGGTTTTTTTAGGCAGAAGCACCAAATTTGCAGCATAGCTGCTGGTGCCTCTCCTTAAAAATTCCCCAAGTTTCAAAAAGATTGGACCAGGCGGTCCAATTCTACGGGCCCCAGAAGGAGGTACCCACATCCTCCATTGTTTCCAGTGGAAGGGGGGGAAATTTGTGTGCAGAAGCAGAAACCCCTGAGCTGGCATCTACAGTTTTGTGCACTAGCACCCCCTAGCGCAGCTTAGAGGGAACTATGGTGATAACTGCTTGCTACTACACATTAGTCCCTGTAACTAATATGAGAAATGATATCAACAAATAATCGAGAAGCATTACAACATACTACAGATGGCCCACCTTCCAGTGGCTTGTAGCTTGGATTAAAAAACTGCCAAAAACCACCCAGAAGTGGAGCAGGGGGCTCAATGAGGAGAAGAGAGAAGACTCTGGGAAGCAATTTTATCAGTTGCCACAGTGAAACCCTCTTTTTAAGCTGGAGCAATGACACTGACAGAATTGTCACTGCAACCCCTCAAACAATCCAGTGGTGAAATTAGATAACATTACTCTGACATAATGGTATTATGGGAACCCACACAACCTTGACATGGTAATGTACAGTTCAAATACAGACTACTTTTGGTAGGGGCATGGGGGGTTGAACCCATAATGTCTCTCCAAACCCAGCATCAGCAAACAATCCCATGAGCATTCTGATATCCTACCTGTTCAATAAGTCTCTGAAACAGAACCGAGCAAAGGAGTCCACCATTCCCATGAAAAGAAACAGATAAACTCAGTAACTCAGATAAACTCAGTAAAAAGCTAGTGATTTGATTATGGCAATGCTCTTGTCTCAATTCCACCAAATAAGAGATTACCAATTCCTTGACGAGGGCAAAAAAGTAGGTCCAGCATCTGCCTGTTTAGTCCAGGGGTGGCCAAACTGCGGCTTGGGTGCCACACGCGGCTCTTTCACGCATATTGTGTGGCTCCCAGCAGGGCAGCTGGGTAAGTGAAGGGGGGGCACGCCTCCACGATTGGACTTCCCTTCCCCAGCCAGTGTTCCCCTCCCTGGGTAGGCCTGAGGTAGGGGGGGAGCAGAGAAAGAAAGCAACTTTAAATGCATTCTCAAAGCCCCCCCAACCTACAAATATCATTTAATAAATAAATATCATTATCAATATCTGTTTTTACCCCTTTTGTTTTTATTTTTGGCAGTCTCATTTTCCAATAAAGACATGTGTGTAATATTTGTTAGTGTCTTGTGGCTCTCAAACATCTGACGTTTATTCTGTGTGACTCTTACGTTAAGCAAGTTTGGCCACCCCTGGTTTAGTCCTTTCCCACCTAATTAATAAATATGTAGGGAGTAGACGATCCAAATTATATGTGGCCTTTTTGGACCTCAAAGGAGCTTTCGACTCTGTTTCTAGAAATCTCCTATGGGAAAAAATAGTCAATACATCTCTTGATAAGAGGCTGCTCTTCCTTATTGGCAGATGATATACCGCTACTTCATGCCAAATTAGATGCTCTACATCTGGAAGATTGACCCACAAAGTTTCCACCAATAAAGGGGTCAAACAGGGTTGCGTGCTTGCATCCCTTCTTTTAAACTTTTTTTTTAGTGACCTTGCATCTTTTTTGACTCAGGTGGATGGACATTGCCCAAAATTAGGTTCCATTCATGTACTGATTTTGTTATATGCTGATGATGCAGTTCTGCTCTCCTGTTCCTGGGCTGGTTTACTCCGTTTGTTGAATAGCTGTCAAAACTACTGTAGCATCAATCAGTTAGAACTGAACTATGAGAAATCTAACGTCTTGGTTTTCTCCAAATCCGGAAAGCAATTTATTTGGAGAGTAGGTGATTATGAACTCGAACAAGTAAAAACTTTTACGTATTTAGGCCTCCATTTTCAAGCCACTGCATCTTGGACCCATCAACAAAGAGTGACAATTAACAACTCCAAGGTGAATATCAACACACTCCTACAATTTTATTTTTCTAACAAGGAAATCAATATGTACTGGCTGTGCTAAAAGTCTTTAACTTGAAAATAAGGCCCCTATTACTTTATGGTGTCCCTATATGGATTGATGCAGTAAACAAATCTATAGAAGAGGTTCATCTGTCTTTCTTACGGAAGATATTGGGCGTTCCATCTTGTGTGTCAAATGCGGCCCTATGTCTGGAATGTGGCCAAAATCTTATGACCACTAGGGCGTGGCTTGTGACCTTTAAATATTGGGTTCGGCTACATTATAACTCTGACCCTTGCATTTATATTTATCAGCTTTTAATGGAATCTGAATCTTCTCCTTAGCTAACAACATAGAGAGTAAACTGGGAACTCTGAATATCCCCCTCGAATCTCTCCTTTTACTTTCAGAATCGGAGACGTTTCAAAAAATAAGGAACAGAGTACTGGAGATCGAGCTAGCCAATTTGTACAATGCAGTCAATAAAACCTGCTCTTCTCTTAGCCATGGGATACTCTCCACGGTCGGAGTTCTCCCTAGTTGTTTTTACCAATTACAGACTCCAAAAATTTGCAGAATTTTTACTTTTTACCAGGCTTAATGTTTTACCGTCAGCGATTTTAACTGGAAGATTTCATGGTACACCCCTTATTAATAGACATTGCCCCTGTGTAAATGGAACTACTGAAACAGTGTCCCATGTGTTGTTAGAATGTCCTTATTATAATAATTTCAGACAAAGTATTTTATCTCCAATCTTATCCAGCATTATGGATTTTCCTGATGCATATAAACTGTTGTTTCTGCTTAACAGCACTGGTGACAATATAAGTGATTCAGTGGCAAAATGTTTATATGTTGCTGTTTTTATATGAAGTAATATACTGTAACCTTGGGATGTTTTAATCCGTGATTCGTTTTATGTTTAGTTCTTCTATGTATTTGCTTAATGTTCTCCCTTTTATAATGCCAATAAAGGTATGATGAACATATGTATCTGAGCAGTGCTTATATTCCCTTTTACTTCAAAATGACTGGGGGGAAATCCTCAGAGTTTATGGTTAGTGCTGTGCCCACAACCGGCACCAAGTAAGGCACAGCCACAGAAAGGCCATGCACGTTCACGGCGCTACTGTCGAGCAGTGATGCACAAAACCAATGCGCAAAGGGATGACATCACAGCAGTACATTCCTTATGCTGTATAATCATATCCCCCTTCCTTGCACTCTAGATGTTTCAAAAGAGCCCAACTATCTCACGCTTGAAGCAAAGCTGGCAAAATTGCATTTCTCAAGTGTCAAGTGAAATTATCATCCCCAATCTGCCAGCTAAAAATATCACAGAATACACTCCTGTGCCAGGAGAAAGTCAGATCTGATTCTGCAATCCTATAAAGATCCCCCCCCCCGCGCCGCCGCCCACCCCAGGTTCAACATTTCTCTCACCATTCAAACTGAGACTGCTAACTTTGGCTCTGGGGTTCCCCCCTCCCTTCCCACTTCACTATGCAAAAAAAAAAAGTCCTTTTCTCGGCACAAAGTTTTCACTTCAAAACCTACCGCCGTTCCACGTCTGTGAATGAGCGCATCACCCCCACTGCTCTGTTCCACAAGTCATTACGCACTCATTGCTTAACATCTAGGGAGTTTTCCTTTTTGGAATTCCCTTAAACATGACTCACCGTAAGAAGAATCTGTAGGCATAATGGTAGTTTTTCAAACCTCCCAGTAGGGGTGTGCCTCACAGAACCGTAGAATAATGAAAGCTTAAATAATGCGCTCTTGTACTTTCAGCATTTTCAAGTGCTAAGCCTTTATTGTTCGGATCAGCCGTTGGCTTCAAGTTTTGCGCTTCTCCGAAAGCATCCCGTTCATATTAAATTGAGAATCGGACACACAAGGAGCACAAAGATGCCAAGAGTTCCCTGAGCCGGTGTTCCTGTCACCAGGCATACATGGTACTTTCCATTCACCTGAGGAGACTCAGAAAAAGCATGGGGCTGGATCCTTTCTGACTGAAATCTACCGAAGTTTCTAGGCTTCAATACCCCTAGGTTCGCTAAGGTTTCATCATATGGGTGGAGGGCTCTCTCAAGATTACCAGCTGAGGCCTACTTAAGATGGTGACGAACCTATTTACTCATCCAGTACATCTTTATCACCCCAAGGAGCTCAGGGCTGTATATGTGGGCCTCTCTTCCTCATTTTATCTTGAGAACACTATGGTATAGGTCAGACTGAGGAAATGCTGCTTTGGGGGCTGCGATGAGGGCAGAAAGGGATGTATACATTTTGTAAATAAATAGTAGTAAATACTGATCACTCAGTGAGCTTTTGTGGCAGAACAGGGATTTGAATCCAGGTCTTGCAGATACTGGTCAGGCACTCTCTCAGCTATGAAGATGAGGAGCTATACAGCCATGGTCTCAAGGTTCAGTAACAAGTTGCTAGTGGTAGTACTAGTAGCGCATGACTTGTTGGGCATTTAGAAAAACCACAAAGCTTGCCTGCCTGGGCCTAGATCTGGGAGCTTTATGCCATTATTCTACTGCTAGTCTGTGACTTTGCCTTATTAAGTCTTGGGGCTAATAAATTAATTCACAATGTCAACATTATTAGATCAATGTTTTTGGAGGGAGAGTGTAACACAGGGGATCCCAATCTTTTCAGCCTGCGGGCACCTTTGGTATTATGACACAGCATGGTGGGTGCAGCTACGAAATGGCTGCTGCAAGGGGCATAGACCACCACAAAATGGCTGCAGCTGCTTACTTTCAGTCACACAATGAAGCTCCTTCTGTTGTGGAGCTAGCTGCTGCCAAATATTTTTAAAAATCTGCACAGCCAATCAGAAGCATTGCTGGGGGAAACGGCCCATATTGCCCCACCCATTATCTGAAAATACTTGGCGGGTGCCAGAAAAGGTATTGGGAGGCACCAGGGCACCCACGGGCACCACACTGGCGATCCCTAGTGTAATTCCTCACAACTACCATTCACCTGCCATTTTTGTTATGTGAACTGTCACCTCATGGTAACTTAACCAAGCCCAAAGTGACTATGAGAAATTTCTCTCCCCAAACCCCCAAACACTAAAAAGAGAGAGACTGGGAAATATAGAAGTCACACACCTAGATGATGACTATATTTTAAAACCCTATATTGTTTTGTTACCTGCTCCATGTTGTAGCCGTGCTTCTCTTTAGCAATGGCGATGTATTCATCCACTGAGGGGAAAAGAAAACATAATTTGAAGATTAGACCTTGAATAAAATCTGAACAAACCATTTCCTTTGTATGATTGAGAACATGCCCATTTCAGTGCTGCTATGCATGGGCCAGACACCGTAGTACATGAACTGAACACTAGGAGAATCCATGCGCTCAGGAAACTATTCCACAGGTGGTGGACATGTCAGAACTGACTGAAAGGCTTAGCCAAGAGACAAGCTTGGTTCCTTGTGACAGATGAGAGATGCCATGGCTCAATGGTAGCACACCTGCTTTGCAAACAGGAGTTCTGAAGTTCAATCCCTGGCATGCCCAGCTGAAGGAGCTGACAGGAGTTGGGAATTATCCTTCCCTGGGATATTGGAGGGCTGCTGCCAGTCTCAGCAGACAGTACCGAGCTCAACAGACCCATGGCCAACCTTGGCAGAAGGCAGCTTTGCATCTTCACATGCTTCCCTACAACAGTGCATCTGTCATCTGCCCCACTGGAAGGTACCCTTTACATTTAAAAAATGGCTCAGTGGCAGCTATTTTTTTTTAAAAAATCAGTGCTTCCTTCTCTGGCTCTGTAATAATGCACTGTATAAGATGAAGAGACAGAAACACAGTTCCTGCGCCACTGCTTTAACTTATTCCAACAAGACAAAGTGAGAACATGGTATGCAGATACTGACAAAATAGAAAAACGTGTATGTAATCTCATTACGTGTGCCAACAACTAATAAAGAATTATTAACCACATTTACAATGTGTGTTTATTAATAAGTAGAATAAGATAACACTCACGGCTCCACTTATCAGCAATGTTTTCAAAAACAGTTCATAGAAACGGGCTCAACTGTCAGCAATGTTTTCAAAAGCAGCCCACAGAAAATGTTCCTTATTCCAAGGCACCAAATTCAAGAAAGAAAATATGTTTGGATTTTGTCTTGCAGGTGATGAAGAAAGGGCCAGCAATGCCTCTCCAGTTGTAGTATACTTCTGCTGTGGATATACAGCATACTTCCAAGTGGGAGGACGTTATACTCTAGTTCAGTGCTAAATTGAACCCCGATGCCCAGAAAGGGGGGGAAAGGGGGGGATCCAATTCAGGCCAGATTACATCATCTCACCCTATATGCTGTTTGACGGGTCTTTGACCGTAATAAACTGATTGATTGATTGATCATCATCTCACCGTTGCAACTATTCTGATAATGACAGCAAACGTACATCACTGAAGAATGTTTAAGAAGGATACTTTCCAGCTAGCCTTACGGTGCCACCCACCGAAAGGCACAAGACCATGGGCATGATCCAGAAAAGCCAAGGCAGTGTGGGTGAAAGAGAAGCTGCCCCCTCCCCATTTTTAGTAACCTCCTTCCAATTTCAATATATTTATGCTGCATACAGTTACAGAGCAAGTATCTACAGATACTGGTCCTTGTCTATGGCTTGCAGAAGATGACTGAACTGTGTAAAAACAAGCGTGTCTTCATGACGGAGAGCTGCGAACAGGTCTGGTGTGATCAACTGACACAAGCCAAATCAGCACCAGTGATGCTGGCACTCCACACACGTGAAGTTGCCTACTGCTACTTGGGAGAGGCTCTGGCTCAGTGGCAGAGCATCTGCCTGGCATGTAGAAGGTCCCAGGTTCAATCCCCACCATCTCTAGTTCAAAGATCTGGCCATACATGATGTGAAAGACCTCTGCCTGAGACCTTAGGGAGCCACTGTGAGTCTTAGACAATACTGACTTTGAAGGACCAAGGGTCTCGTTCAGTATTAGGCAGTTTCATGTGTACTTAGTCAGACCACTGGTCTATCCAGATCAGTACTGTCTATGACTGGCAATAGTTCTCCAGGGTCTCAGGCAGGGGTCTTTCATTTCACCTGCTGCCTGATCCTTTTAGCTACAGATGTGTGTGTTTGGGGGGGGGGGTTTGAACCTGGGACCTTCTGCATGCAGAGTGGTCTGTCTACCGCTGGACCATGGCCACTCCTACATCCCACACACCAGAAAGCTACCATTTTCTGTTTACAGCTACACGATCGGTAGACCAAACTGCCATCAGGCTAGGCTGCACTCCTAAATACATCCAAACGGATTTTTGATCACATTGCAGAATTTGGCTTTTCCATCTTATCGTACGTACCGTCTTGACGGCTGGGAAAGGCCCAAAAGGCCGGGCCCTCAGTTTACTTTACACACTATTTTCATTCGTCTACTTCATTCTCCCTCAAGAACTGTACTCATAAAGGATGTGGTGTGTACTGGCAGGCCCTGGCCTGGCTAGCCTGCTCTTGTCGAATCTCGGAAGTTAAGCAGGGTCAGCCTTGGTCAGTATTCGGATGGGAGGCCGCCAAGGAATACCAGGGTTGGGACATGGTGGCAGGCAACGGCAAACTACCTCTGAACACCTCTTGCCTTGAAAACCCTACGGGATTGCCATAAGTCAGCTGTGGCTTGACGTTAAAAAAAATGTACCGGCAGATCAAGGCACCACCACCCCCTCCCGGCAGAGCAGAGCTGCCATTAAATGGCTTTTAGCGTGAAGCCAAGCTCACCTTCCAGATAGTATTTTAACCATTTTTATCATCTCCGAGGATCTATAAAGGAAGAGGGATTAAAAAGTTCTCTTATAAATTAGACTCTTAACGTCCTAATGTCTGCAGCAATTAAAGTCCGGGGTTTTACTGTCCATTAAGATCTTTTTTCGAGTTTTCGCCGTAACTCAAGAGCATAGAAGGGATGGGGGGGGGGGGGGGAGAGCCATTTTTTTTAATCACAAAATTCATTACCTTGAGAAATTATTGATAGCAGATGAGACCGTTTCATGGAGCCTGCTTGACATTCCGTACGCAAGCACCATCCCCACCCAGCTCCGTGGCTTACTGCTATCAGGTTTCATAAATAAAATGAATTCCCGCGCTTGAATCATCTGCCTTCTTTGAAATCAAAGCAGAGGTGGGGCGGAGGGGTTGTTTTGTAAACCATGGATGGATTGCTAAAGGTGCAGGAGGCTTCTGCACCCCACTGAAGCACGCACCTTTCAATACGCGAGGGCATGTTTTTTTACATGGCCAGAAGGTAGTATCCAAACATGCAGTTCCCTCCATTCCCTGTCGTGTGTGATCACACATCCCGGAAAGGACTGTACCACACTCCTTTTGCAGATTTTTGGCTGGCTCACAGACAACCCCAATTTACAGAGCTTTGCTATTTCCAGACCACAAGATAAGGCTATATTGTTAACCCTGTCTAGCAAAGAAATAACCCTGTCTAGCAAATAAATCTCCCAAATTTATGAGCCCACAAAAAAGTGGTGAGTTCACCCGCCCACACAGTCCTGTGCTTAGTCACTTGTGGCATACTGACTGCGGGGAGGGGTTACGGGAGTCTTGCAGATGAGTCTATGAAAGTTACTAGCCTGCCGTATAAGAATTTTTTTTGGGGGGGGAGAAACCTACTTGAAGTTTCTGTAATCCTATACTGTAGAAAAACACAGGTCTATCAGAAAAGAGAGAGACTGCACAAGAGAGATGTTCCGGGGTTAGAAAGCTAAAAACGTTCATGGATTTTCTTGCATTTTTTAGTGTGGTGCTGTGTGTAGTCCTCCCCCTTTCGGATCTTAATTACCTGAACAATACCTGAAAAAATGCTTTGTCCAAGCTGGCCTCCCTCTCTATAAGAAACCTGTGAAGGAATTTGTAGGTGAACTTTGTATCTCCCCACCACTTTAGCTTGAAGCACAGTCTGCTAGAACTCAGGCCAAATGCCTCTTACTGCCAGGATATAGATCAACACCACACAAACTAACAGATGGTTTCTGAGCAGTGTAACCCCACTCTTGGAGTAAGAGTAAGGAATAAGCAGTTTTGCATAATTCTCAAGTGTCAGAGCCAGAGTGGTGATGTGGTCAGAGTGTAAGGGCTACGATCTGGGAGACCCAGGTTCAAATTCCTACTACAAAAGCTTGTTGGCTGATCTTGGGCCAGTTGCTCTCTTTCAGCCCAGCCTACCTCACAGGGCTGTTGTTGTTATAAGGATAAAATGGAGAAGGGGAGAACAATGTTGTAAGCTACCGGGGATCCCCAGTGTTGGATCCCCACTGGGGAGAAAAGCAGATTAAAAATATTTAACGTGCCAACTTTCCTCATAAGCCCACTTATACATCAGCTACTGCAAAGGCAAATCATTTTGATTTTTTCCCTATGATCCCAACAAGGGAAAAGGTAGGAAAAAATACAAAGTCAACACAGATTCAGATGTAATGCCAAATCATGCTCTGGAGCTGTGTGGGTGTGGCCTATGTTTGTGCCCCCCCCCCTCTGCCATGAGTCAGTACTTCCACTGTGTCATCTAAACCAGTCAACCAGGGTTTGTGCTTCCTCCTTCCAAACCGAGATTGTGGGCCCTGGTTTAAAACTGGTGGGCAATCCTGCGGTGAAAAATGCCATTTTGCAGTTTGGATGTCTTAGCAATCTATGATTTGGGCTCGACCAGGGCTTTTTTTGTAGAAAAAACCCAGCAGGAACTCATTAGCATAATAAGCCATACCCAACAGCAGAAACTCATTAGCATATTAGGCCACACCCCTGATGGTACAGCTCATTAGCATATTAGGCCATACCCCCATGTTACCAGAAGTGTGGTCATTCAGCCACACCCACCTTTTGCTGCTTATTCTGTTTACCTTGTTTGTTGTCAAAACCCAGGGTTTTTTTGGTAGCAGGAACTCCTTTGCATGTTAGGCCACACACCCCTAATGTAGCCAATTCCAATGAGTTTCTGCTGTTTGGTGTGGCCTATTATGCTAATGAGCTCCTGCTGAGCGTGGCCAACTCAGGAGCCAGCCGGAACTCCGTTCCTGTGCGTTCCTGCCCAAAAATAGCCCTGGGCTCGACTCTAAGTGCATGTGGGAGAGGGCTCATTCAGTAGAGTTGCCATACCTGGCAATCAGCAAGCACTTGGGAGGCGAGGCATACATGCTACATGATGTCATTTCCAGGA